ATGATATTCACGGTGCTATAAGTAAAAAAAACGAGCAGCTGCTCGCTTTTCTCACTTAGCATACTCCGTATATACATACATGTCCACATTCGTCGACATTCAGCTGCCAACAACAATCGCCCGTAAGCGAATTTATTCTTTTTTAACACATTTACTACACATTTATTTTTATTTATGCATTTTCATAATTTTTTCACATTTCCTTTAATGTCCAGCCAGCCAACAGCCGCAAGCGCCGCCAAGTCACTTTGGCAATTAATTTATGTATTCAAATGTAAATGACTCGTAACTACCGTTGGCACATTGCGAACACAGATTGAGCCACGACAAAGTTGGGTTGTGTGTTTGGAGCAGTCGCATGTGGAAGGAGTATCAACAAAAAATGCATTCCTTCCAAGCGACTGATGTACTTTTCCCGGGCATCTGCTTTACAGGTAACCAAGGCGAACTTTGGAGGTAAAAATTTCTGAAAGAATAAAAAATAAGTCTAATTAGAAGAAAAAACTCGCTGTATTTAGGCAGTGTAACAATAAATACGGGAAGCTTGACATCACTTGGTTACAGTGGCGTAGATACGGTGGCGGGCAAATGAATAGGGACGCGACATTTTAACAAGTTTATTATTTTTTTTATAAAAGTATAGCTCACTATCTAATATAAACAAAGTAGAGCCAAATTTCCACTAGGCATGGAAATGACGAAAAATATGTGCCATTTAAAAAATGCCGTAAGGAAATGAGTTTAATGACAATTGTTCATAACATAATGGCACAGGTATTTTTTAATGCCCAGCTTTGTCATTAACTTTTGTGGCATTTAATGTCTAGTGGAAATTCGGCGTTAGTAAAAATTTGAAACCAGTACAAGATTTATAACAAGTAAATAATAAACGTTAAATAAAAATAGCCAAAGTATGTTAAAATGTCGCGCCCCTATTTATTTTCCCACCACTGTAGCTAACTGCCATGGAGATTTCAAGGCGATTGATTACTCATTATCGACTTTCATGGAGGATCTATCCTTTATTGTTTCGTTAACCCTAGAATTACTTTCTTCGTTGAATCGACAAGTTGACATGTGTTGTTTACTAAACAAAAATAAGAAGGTACTTCCAGGGTTAAATACATCAGACAAAAGTAATCCCGAGAAGTCTCGAAAATCACGCAATGGTCCTAAAAAGTACTGAAAGATCCCAAAAAATATAACACGAAAAGGCCCGAAAAGTTGTGTGGGAATAAAAAACTCACCAAAAAATGCCCAAAGACCTCAACAAAAAAAAATAAACGAAAATTTATAAAGAAGAATCCTGAAAAGTTCCGTAAAAATCCGAAGAAAAGCTTAAAAAGTTTCCAAAAATTTACAAAATTCGGTGCAATGTAAAATATCACTATCGGCATCAAGAATGAGAAATTTCTACAGAATTAAAAAAATGTAGTGTTTTTTAATCACAAGGAAGGACTTTAGTACATATTTCGCACCCTCAAATACTTATGTACATGGTTAGTCTTTTTAGCATCCCTTAAATACATACTTCAATCTATTTACTTTAGTATTTAACAACTTCTAAGTCGCCATTAGCATAATATGCCTTTTATAGTAATTAACAAATCTACAAAGCAGCGGGTTTAAACCGAATCTTCAGACATTCTTCGCACTTTGAACCAATCCATGAGAACGATTCATTTTTTTTTTAACCACGAAAAAATGGAGCCTCCCAGTAACTACCCATTTTAACTTACTCTAACAACCCATTTTAACTTAAATCAAACTAAGGTCAAAATAATGGTCCAAAATACCCATAAAGGGTTAATAAATATTACAATAAAGTCGACTGTTTAATTTTATTTTAGGCCTGTGAAGGCCTAAGCTTCGACAAGAGAAGGTCCCACACACTCATTCGTCACATAGAACATTATCTCCGTCAACGCCCTGCCCTTGCGGATACTAGGAGACCCTCATTTTACCATTACTCCTCTCATTACGATTACAATATGCCTTGCATATGTATGTATGTCTGTGAAAATAAGAATCCCCTCTATAGTTCGGCTCCCACCATGCAGCACTAATGCCTTGATCACACCTAACGAGTGGCGAGACTATAAAATAACACTGGTCCGAGAGAGTTGTGTGAGCGAGTTGATGTTTTTAAGTATTTAAGTATGTACGTGGCGAATCGGTTAAGTTTTGAGGCAGTGGATGATTGAATTGCATCGCGGAAGACGACGTTTAAAACGGGTTTTCAACCAGGTTATACCGCACAAAATAGAAGCTAATTCCGCTTGCTACTCAGTTTAATGCAATCATAATGAGTACACGTAAAGAAACTAAACAAAATAGCACATAAAACACGACCGAGTGGCGACTACGTATCTTCATGTGACGAGTGAGTATGTGCAAAATTAGCCGGAGAAGTAATACGCGGCCGAATAAACAAAATGAGTTTCTAGCGAATCTCTCGTGGTCGGCCGATGACTCGGTCGGCTACTCGCCAAATTGTTTATACGCAACGAGCAGTCGGCCGAGTTACTGTCTCGTCACTCTACTCGTTAGGTGTGATCAAGGCATAAAGATTTTGCTGGCTCGCAGGAGTGAGTACTAGTCACAAATTTGGCACCACTTCGATTGCCTGGTGAAAATGACATGGGGCTTTCAAGAGCTAACATGGGGTTCCAAGCGCTACGACGTTGCCCTTGCGATTCGCTGGCAAGCACCTCCATATTCACATGTATGTAGGTGTGAATCCCTGCGAAATATTTGTAACGATATGCATAATAAATTACCTGTGAGTCGAAAAGTGTTTACCAATCGAGATTCACCACTTACCTTCAAGTTTACAGAATGCATTACTTTAACCTGGGCATGGAATTGGAGGTTTAAGCGAATAAGCTTACCTACTGTATTACATGTAATGCAATGGCTAAGCGAATAAGTGTAAAATTTCGTCTTGAGGTATGTATATTGTAATGCATTACTCCATTGATTCAAAAATCGACGTGCTTACCAAAGAAGCAAAGTTTTTACTGGACGATGAATATTCATGTTGAGCTTTTTGCAATAAACGACATTGGATATGAATGAAGTAAATAACTTAAAGAACTATAATTGTTATGAATTCAAATGCTGCTCAAATGCTTGAAGAACTCTTCCAAAAGGCCTTCGAAAGTTTGTTCTACAGAAGCTCTTCTGGGAGCCCTTCTATGGGTCGCGAAAGCAAAAGACCTTCAATTTGCGTCACTCCATACAAAAAATAAAGCAATCTAACTGGACTCTCAGGAAGGCGCTTTAGCTCCTGAAATTATATCCTGGGCATATATCTACATATGTGCATATCGAGTCCTAACCGCCAAGATGTGATTTTTTTTTTTTAAATTTTTTTTTTGATGTAGAAATCATCCTACAGTTCCATAAGTAAAGTAACTCTTCTTCTTACCGTTTTTTCTGGCAGGCTGTAGGTGTGTTTTTGGTTAGTGTATTGGTGTTTTTGGTTCAATGTGTTAGTGTATTTTGAATAAATTATCCCTGCAAACCAGAGTTCCCGAAATCTTAACGAAATCTTTAGGTGTATCTGATTTTTGTAACGATTTTTTTCCGAATCTTCAAAGAAAATTATATGAAGTGGTTGACACGAACTCGTAAAGAAATTTCTGTACGAAAAATAAAGAAAATTCTGAAAAAAGTCTGCAAGAAATTCTTCACATAGCAGCATTATTTTCATTTCTTTACCGATTTTCTTCCGAAATTTCGTAAAAGAATGGAAGTGTGCGTAATTTACTTCATTTTAGAAAATTCGGCAAAAAATCGGATGGGATCTTTCCGAATTCTTTAAAAATTCTTTACGATTCAGAATACTCTGAAAAAATGGTTTGCAGGGATAATAGAAATTCAAGAAATTGTAATAGAAATTAAAGAAATTGTAAAAGATAAGAGCAAATGCCAAAAAACAGGTGATCTCAGCTGTAGGCATTTTTTGGCAATCAGCTGATAGTGTTTTTACTTATGAAACTGTACCATGGTAGAAATCTTCCTAGAGCAACCATATGAATTTCTGCGTAAAAAATAAAATAAAAAATAAAAAAAAAAATGTCGCTTACATCTTATCTCGTTATACTCGTATATGCTCCTCCACGTGTCCGACTGTGTTTCTTCGTAAAAAGACTCGATGAAAACATAGATAGTCTTCTCTTTGAAGAAGGTCCTATTCTGGGGAGCATGCAGCATGCAGTTTAAATTTCCAATTTCTTTTTTACGAAACGCTAATAAATACTGTCATCAGACATCATTAAGTCTGTTCGACAAACTGATAATGATTGACAATTATTGCAAATTATCAAGTGACAGTTGACTTGGAGAGGAATTGCAAATTCTAGCAGGAACAAATTTTTACCACCAAGAAAAACCAGCTGATCATCTGACTGCAAGTTATGGAAATAACGAAATCGTTTTCAATGATTTTAAAGTTTAAAATGTGAATTTAATAGAACTCCAAATGTTTGGGAAGTAAGTAAAAACTAATTTTTTGCTTCGCCGAGCAGATTGCTCCATGCAAATGTTTGTTTTTGCAAATTTTCGGTACGCGCACTTTTTTGAAAATGTTTGTATTTGAGAGGGCTTGTTCGAGTTGCAATCACAACCGCAGTGTTGCGCGAATTATTAAAGTATCGCGTTCTGTGTGAATTTCTAGCAATGTATGATCAGCTAGTTTTTGCTTCTTCCGTAAAAAAAAAAATGAAAATTGTCAGTTAGGACTTTTCTATATTTTAACAAAGATACGTATGTAGCTTCTGAAATCGATACACTGTATTAAAAGCACATGCGGAAAACTTTATTCAACATATGACACAAGCGTAGTTCAAATAAGACGCTTAAATACATAGACATAAATGTAATTACTATTTGTAAGAGATAACTAAAAATTACGAGTAGGAAAACACTGACAGTCAATTCATTAAAAAATAATTAAAATTAAATGTTATCTTTTGTTCTTGTTCAATAAAAAAAAAAACAAGCATACAATATTTAAACGCCATTTAGTGCTTCACTAATGCTCCCCCCATTCATTTGCTGAAATTGTGTTGGCACCTGCTGCGGTTGCGCTTGTGACAGCAATGGTTGCAATAGCTGTAGCGGTGGTGGCGGCTGCTGCTGCTGCTGTTGCTGGGCCATACTTTGTTCAGCGCCTACTTGCGGCGATTTCTCTGTGCTGTCCAAAAGCACTCGCACCACCTCTGACGTGAACTTTTCGACCAACTGCAGGGCACGTGTTGCTGGCAACTCCAACAAGGAGGCGGATACAAATTCGCCAAAAGCGGCATACTTTTGCTCTGAATTGCTCAAACAACGACGATTCACTTGCACTTGACGCGACATCAATGATGTGTACTCTTGTTGCCGCTGACGTTTGTTTTTGTTGTTGTTATTGTTTGTGTGACTATTGTTGAAATTGCTATGCGAAGGAATGTCGTTGTTGCTGGCGCGCTGTTGCGTGTGTGCAACGCCCGGCGTACGCTCTTGCATCGTATCCAAGCGGCGTATTTTGATTGATGCCGGTGGAGCAGCTGGCAAAGTCGAATATTTTGATGAACGTTTATTCAAAGCCATCGATGACGAGGTGCTGGACTTGTTATATGGCGACATGGAATGTGGCTGACGTTGTTGCATGCTAAGCAATGTGGAAGCGGCACTTAGCTTCAAGGGATGGCCCCTGCTGTTGTCCTCAGTGCCACTTTGGCTGCCACTAGAATATGAAAAATACAGTTTATTAAAAACAAAACATGAATGCATTTCAAGAAATGGGGTAAATTAAATATGTATTACGATTCAGCATCGGCAACATCTGGATCTTCTCCATCTGGTTCCTCCATTTTGACGGTGAGCATACCATTAGCGTAAGTTTCGGCGCTGCTATTGTGGGCGCCGCCGCCACCACCAACAGCACCGCCGCCGTCGCCGCCGTCGCCGCCACCATCACTGTAGGAGTCACGCCTGCCACCACCAGCAGTTGCTGATCTAGTTGCCAAATGCGGCTTAAGCTGACGCTGCTGGTGCCGTTTCGGTCGCGGACGCTCTGTGTAGTCCTCGTCATCATCAGCCGAATCAGCGAGCGATGTACGCGGTTGCATGCTCTTGTAAGAGCGACGTGGCCGTATGTGTTCGGAGAGGAAATGTAAATGATGAAATAGCGGCCATGGTGAGTCAACCGCCTGACCGGGATTCTCATCGCGCAACTGCTCGAGGCGACGCTTCTCGAGATTATAACGATTGCGCAGCTGTAGCATGCGATCCTTCAGCAAGGAAACTAGAAATGGAAATAAGTATATATGTATTTGCTATATTAAAGAAATTCGAATTGAATTTGTATGGATATATGTACATATATGTAGTTGGAGCACAAGTGGACTGTGTGCAATAGTTGGCATATGCAACAATTGGTTGCGTGAAGGCGGCGCGCAACAGCTTAATATCGTTTTGTGCGTCGCTATCAGCTGGTTGTAAACAAACAAAATACCTTTTTTTTACTGACCAATCGACCAGACCAATCCACCCACAAGCCTATGTCCACTGAAAGTCACTCAAAAAGCCTACGTAGTTATCTAAATACATACTACACAAATAAACATCAATACATATGTACATATGTACATGTATGTATGTACATATATAATACAATGCGCTACTAGCAATAATCCATCTTCCAGCACCAACAACAACAACCAAACACGGCAAACTTTGTTTACAAATATTTGTTTTTCAGATTTTTTCATTGCTTCTCATTTATTTATTTTTTGTTTGGTTTTGTCGCTATTGGTTTTCTGCTCTCTCGTAGCGCAGCGCTTTGTGTGGTTGTTATTGCTGTTATGCATATAAAAATCAAAATAAACAACTCAGCGAAACCACTATCTACAATTTATGGCCCACCTCAATATTTTCGTAGTCCAGGTTTCGCGTTTTTTCTATGTGCATTTTTCTCTCTCTCTCTCTCTCTCTCTATCTTTGTCGCTTTCTCTCTCTCATTTGCTTTATTTTAACTTTTTATTAAATCATAATTAGTGTAATTGAATTTTCAATTAAACTAATTTAGGTTGCCGCTAGAGCAATACGATATTTTGTTTAAGCAGATTTTTAGCAGCACACGAAGTTCCTCTGAATTGAAATACAGACCTTTACTGAATTTACGAAAATAACGGGCGTATAGTTTTTAAATATACATACTACATATGTATATGATGTACATGTTTTTTTGAACAAAACATATGTATTTACTTAAGAACTGAAACTGTTATCGTGGCTGATTAAAAAATATCAATAAAAAATATAAAACCTATTAGAAACTCCATTCATAACTCAAGTGATGGACTTTTTCACACCACACTTACCCATAATAATTTTTGTTTTGTTTTTGAGATGACCCCTGCGCCCTTTATGGAATTAAAACCACACTAAAAAATTTTCTGAATTGAAGAAAAACCACTACAAAAAGAAAGGAAACATTTTAATGATGGATGCCTTCTTTCTTAAATTTTTTAATCTACTTTAAATATACCCATGGCCACGCGTAAGGTGTGTATATTATACAAATGGGCTACTAAACTGCATACCCGAAAATTTCCAAAAAAACGTTTATTAAAAAGCTTGAAAATTTGATGAAAATTCGATGCATTTTTCTAAACTTTGTATAAAGTTTGAAACTTTTATTTATATAGGTTTTGTTGTAGTTTGAACTATATTTTAAAACAAAATAAAATTTTTTTAATAATTTACAAAATTCTACCAGATTAAAAAAGTAGTGGTTTGCGTGGTCTTAAGCTGAAAAATTAAAATTTATATTAAATTTTCCATTTCAATGTAATCTAAGTCCATTTTTTGCAATCGATGTAGTTTCGCATTATCTGTCATTCTGCATCAAAAACTTTATTTTGAAAAAATTGGACTGGACACCTTTTCACATTTAGGTAGCGATATGTAGTTTGTATTAACTTGAAGTTTTTCATTTCACTTTTTACAAAAATATTTAACTTATACAAGTAATTTAAAAAAAAAATTAGTTGCAAATAAAAAAATAAAAAAATCGACCTCCGCACCACCTAACGCTACATTTTTGGTGGGGTTATTCCCTTTCATGTAAATAATATACGCACATACATTCCAAGTATGAGTTTTTTCAATGCGAGTTTTTTCAAATAACTCGACTTCTGCGCCACCTAGAATCCTTTTGTGTGACTTTTACAGGAAACACAGCAAACAATAAGGTATGTAGTTTCTTTTGGTTCAACAAAATTTGAACGAGTTTTATCTCGAAAGCGGAACCGACCTAATCTTATAGATTTTTCGATGCTGATTTCAAATCGATTTACACAATGTTTCAAGTGCCAAAAAATGACAAATATGGGCTTTTTCAAAAATTAAAAATTAAAATAAAAATCAAATTGGGCGTAGTTTTTCCGAAGAAAACCCACGTATTAACGAAAACGCTAACTCATGTCGATGAGTTTAATAGAAATGAGTGAAAAAATTTCGACTAAGTAAAAAAAAATCAGTTCTTCAATAGCGTATTTATTTTTATTGAGGAAAATATCCTTATTCAATTTTTAATTTTTCATAATCGTTCTGACATTGGGTAAGCAAGTTTAATTGAAATTTCGAATACACAGGATTTTTGCTGAAATCATAGACATGAGGTATTTTCACTACTGCGTGGTAGGTTTTTTCTTCAAACAAATTACGTCCAAATTCCTAGCTTTTTTTATAATTTTTTAAAATTGACATATTTGATACTTCAGCAGTTTTTTTCACAAAAACTAGACTTGCTAGGAAAATTATAAGATGAGACCGGTCCCGTTCTCGCTCAAGTTTAATTGAACCGTGTTATTAGTCTTTTTTTTCCTAAATATCTACTGCATTCATACATTAATTTGTATCTCTGTCTTTTAATTCAATTTCATCGGCAGTAGATTGATTTGAAATGTTATGACCATTCGCTTTACAAATAATTCGAAACATAATTTAAAAGCTCACTAATCAACACACATGTGTATGCATTAGGGTGGTCCAAAAATGCTTGTGAAAAAGTAAAGTCGGAATTTTAATGCAATCACCCCTTAGGATTGTTTTATATCTATCGAAAAAAACTTAACCCCCGTTTTTTTTTATTTTGAAAAAAAAGAGTATTTACAGGTCGCTTAAAGCGCTTAAGGTTTTCCATGTATTTTATATGAAAAAAACTAGTTTTCGTAGAAATGGTATACAACTCTTAAAAATCAATATTTTTCGATCGGAAAACTTTGTCCTTCCAATGGCAATACCCAACTGTTTATTTAACCTTTTTCTATAAATAACTTTTTTTATACGACCCCTCAAAAAATGCATTTCAAATTTGTACAGAAAATTTTAATTGAATATTTTCATGCGATATGAATTTCCATAGTTCTGACAAAATAAAAAATCATACTTAAATTTTTGTTGGTGGTTAAGTTAACAATGGCTTAACGTCTAAGCACTGTGAAATCGGCCCCACTAACTCTTTGCTTTTTGAAAGGTAATTATTGTTATTTTTGGGTATTTTTCTATTAATATTTTGGGATTTTTTGAATTTATGCATTTTCGAAAATGCTTGAACTCATCCCCGTTTTTGTACGAAAGTAAAGAACTTTTTTATGACAATTTCTTTTATGCTTCTTTCTGAGACCTAAGTGTATAGTGTATCCTAGAGGGTGTGAGAGCACTAAAATTCCGATTTTACTTTTTTTTACCACCCTAGTAAGCATACATACATACACCCAAACGCATGTAAAAAGTTGGTGCATTTATTGCGCCTACCTCCACACTACTATACCACATTTGCATACAGCCCTAGTGGGACGATAGTACAGAATACTTACCATCGAAACCCAATTTGTTCGAAATCTCCTGCCATTGATGTGCTACGTGCAATTTGTCCTTGAAACTTGCTGAATTGCGGTCGTAGAAGCCAGGACGAGCACGAAATTCACGTATGAGACTCAAATCGAATTCGCCCATTGGTGCATAGCCACGACCACGTTTGGCTGGTGGCGGATAATCATAATTCCCGTAATCCACAGCGGTGTTATTGTGGCTTACGTTGTTTGTTGACGCTGCAAAGAGGCGTAATTAAAAATGAGATAGAAATATTTAGTATGTTAAACTAATTTTAAATGTTTTGATCGCGAGATACGCCTTTGAGTTCGTTTCACTTTTACGTCATTTGTTTGTATGCAAAACTAGATTTTTATATATTAATAAGTTGGTTATTAATTGCTTTTGTTTTTAACACCACAATTTTTTAGTTTTATATACATATACATATGTATGTATGTTAATTAGTACTAGAAATTGTTTTCTTCTCTTCACAAGTTACAACGTATGGGTAAATATTTACTGTTATTCACTCAATTTACATTTACTTATCGATTATGCGGAGTGAGCGATAAAAAGATGCTGTGTCACTTTACCTTGACTTGCTATTTATGCGAGCAAAAAGTCGAAGAGAGCTGTCAACTCAGGCTGGAAAAATTATGAATGAATTAATTTAAAAGAAATTTATTTTTATTAAAATTTGATTTCATTTTCGAGTTTTTTATTCTAGATTCTAGAGTTCTGTTTTCAAATCATATATTTTATACAAGTTTTTTTTTTTTAAATTGAAAAGAAAAAAAATCTACTTAACTTCATAAAAATAATAACGCAATTCCACCAAAACCTAAATTACAATACAGCGTTGACTTAAGTTCCAAAAATATTAAGCATTAGCAATGCACGGATTTAGCTCGAATATAGACTTCTTATTGCAGATTGCTTATTCTGCTTTTCTATTGACCCTTAGTTAGACTCTTCTCCGTGAAAATTCAACAAAAAAAGAATTAGTTAATTTTAATTTTTCTATATAACTATTTATGCTGAAGAAGATATATGCAGTTATGGCTTAGATGCGCCTAAAAATATCATACAAAATTTACTTTACGTTATTATAATATGGCCAGTGAACACTTTCATTTAGACCGGGAAATTTCGAGTTCTGAAATACATTTAATCGGAAACTGTAGTTAAAGCACGGTGGAAAGCGGCTATAAAGTTGAGTTTCTTAGGGCCGTTTTTACAGTCGAGACTTAACTTACATTCGGAAGTTAACTCCAAAGTTTTTGTACTGAAAATCGATAGTTAACTGCCGAATGAGCAATAAAGAAATTTTGGTGGCACAGGGTGTAATTTTTGGAATTATAAATAAGGTATTTACAGGATGTCTTATGTAAGTGTGTTAGTGTCTTAAAATGCAAATTTAAATCTAAGCTCACTATTTTGGTAACGGAGAATAAGGGGTTAAGCAGAACATTTCAAAAAAAAAAAAAACTATTAATTTCAAGCTGACATTGTAACCCTCCACTTATGTATAACGTGCAATAATTTCTTTTCACAACGGATATCATAGTTTATAAGCTATAAATAAGGGTTAATTTCAACGTTCTTTGATAGCTCACGTCTCCTTCAAAAAAGCTACACATGTACATACAAATCTATGTACATACATACATACATATGTATGCAGAGGTTGTGGGTAAAAATTTGAAATTTTGATAGAAATTTTCGAAATTTTGTAGCTTGAAATTTTGAAGAATTTCTCTAAGTTTTGTATGGCGCTTGAAACGTTTGTTAATATATGTAATTGTTTGTTTTTTTTAGTATAAACAGTACTTTTTTGATTACCAAAAAAATAGCCTCAAGCTCTATTAAATAGTCGAAAATATTACTTAGAAAAACCTTGTGAATTTTCAAAAATAATTGTTATTTTTTTAATAATTTAATAGATAATTTTTGCTCGGCACTGTAGTTCATACTAATCCACATACATAGAAAAAATGCAAAAAAATTAAATTTTTTTAAGCAGAATTTTTCGAAATTTGTTTGGTTAAACATTTTATAGCTCACTCAATAAAGTGCAAGTTTGAAGTTGCTCGAAATTCCTGTTGATTTTGAATAATTTTTTTTTAACAGATGGCCTTGCGAACTTTCTTCATACATCCCTATTTAAAAATCGTGAGTGCTAATTTTCGTGTTATTAGAAAAATTAAAAAAAAACTATGGGAATTTTTAGCTGTTTCAAACTTACACTTTAATGTACCGAAATGAGCTATACAACTTTTTACAAAAATAAAAAATAAAAACTAAACAACCTGATTCAAAAATTTTAAATATTGATGTAAATTTTATGAAAATGTTGAGACTTTTTAGCGTATTTTGTTGTTGTATGAAGTTTATTTTTAAATAAAATTAAGGCAAAAACTTGGCATAAACAACATACGGAATATGGTCAAAAATGGTAATTTACGGGGTGTGCATAGCTCAGTGGTTAACGTCGCACATCAACGATGCAGGTTCGAGCACTGCTGAAGTCTAGAAAAAGAAGCCTGCTGAGGAGATGTGGTGATCTCCGAAATTGCAGCTATAACTTCATACGGCTAGACTTTGTTGTATTTTGCATTTTTCCTAACAAACAAATCGTGGCACAAAGTTAAAGCTAAAATACATTGCTAACAAGTAGTTTTTATAATCTAATTCATTTTTTTTACAAAGTTTTAAACTTTGATTTGTTTGGAGTTTGTTATACAAAATTAACGGAAAAATTGGCATCCAAACATGGAAATATTGTCAAAACAAAACTAGTTCTTTTTAATTCTTAACAAAAAAAATCCACAAATTCTGATTAAGAAACTTCAAATTTTGATGGAAATTTTGTTAAAAAAAAAAATAACGAAAAAATTTGGTAAAACATAAATGAAATATGCTCAAAAAATTACTTACACTTTATTATACAAAAATTAAATGAACTATAAAATTCTATTGCCCAATTTTTTTTTTCAATTCCGACAAAATTTAATTTGATGGAATTTTTTAACTCTAATTCATTTCACTTTTGCTATACAAAATTAACGAAAAAAGTTGGCATAGAAACATGAAATATTGCAAAACAAATCACTGTGCCTACTCCTTTGACTCACTGTAGGTATATTTTCATCAATTTTTATAAAAAAAATCGCCTTTGTTATTATAAAATAAAATTTGTATGTACATACCAGTGTGTTTAAATTTTTTTAGCCAATTATTTAATCAAATCAACATTCAGTACTTATTTAGTTTTGCATACAACCCCTAATTTTTTATTGTTTGCCTACATATATAAAACTACAATACATACATACATTCGAGTATAAAACTAGTGCAAGTTGGCAAAATTCACAAAAATATAGACAGCCGAAAATTTTTAGTTTTAATCCTCTAGGGTTTTTTTGCAAGTAAGTATGTAGAAATTGTATGTACATATGTATGCAAAATTCACATTTTTATGACTCAAATTTAATACGTAATAATAACACCTGCATACATATATATGTACATACATACATTCATATATAGTTCGCATTTATTTTAATAGATTTTTTATTTATCACAATTGCGTTATTTTTCAACTACGCTGAATTACAATAAGTTTTCTTGTTTTCGCCATTGCTTTTCATTTTTATCTTCACAAATATTTTCGCATTTTTTTTTATTGGATTTAAACAGTGTCTGTCGTCGATAGCAACCAGCAATCGAAAAAAAATATATCAAATGCTTTCTTTCCATCGCCATTATTCAGAAAGTTTTTATATACATACGATGATTTATGTGCGTATGTATGCAAAAAATGTTCTTACTTTAAAAAATTTGCTACCCACAAGCGTAGTAGTAGTGACCGACCGACACAGCTCGGCAAACTAACGTGGAAAAATCGAAATTGTGTTAAATTTTATATGAACAAGAAGAGCTAGTAGTGTAGCTATGATGAAATTGTTTTTAGTTTTTACTTCTACGAGTTAAATAAAATTTTATAAGTCAATAGCAGCAGGCAATGGCTGGCTGGCTGGCAGCAGCAATTTAATTTATTCGCCACCAACACCATACCGCTTCGTGAAACGACGCTTGCAGCTCTCTGAGAAGCGTGCGCACTAGCTCACTCTGTCAACGTCTCTTGCTTTCTCTCTGTGAAAAATAATAATAAAAAAAAAAACTTCAGCCACTTAACGGCAAATTAACTATGGGTAATAAGATGGCTCTCGTTTGTCTCATTTTTAATCACGCCAGCGGCTAGCACTCGGCTTCGCTTACGCGCTCTTTTCTATTTTACCCATCTCACTCACACTCTAGTTTACATGCTCGTGTGCACTGTACTGCGCAAAGTTAAAGAATAAAAACTTAAATATTTTTCCTTCTACTACTTGCACAAGAGTTTATACATAGTTAGTAGAGCAGCAGCGAACCACTTTTTTTTGCCATTATTTGCTGCGATTGCTATTTAATCAAGTAAAATATTATTATTATTGAAAGCAAT